TATGTCTGCACATCAAACAAGAGCAGCTTATTGTCTTTCTGTCAAAGCTGTACATCACTCAGTTGTGTGCTGACATTTACTCAGTTCAGTACAGACTATGAAGCCATTCGGCAATCAGAAGCACCACAAACTCACATCTAAAGACAGACTGACATCTAAAAACAGAGCTCTAAATTTACCTGTCACTCAAAACAAAAACCCAAAGGCAAACTATCACTCAAGCCGGACCCAGAAAATAAAGGGCAGCTTTTTATAACCTGTGTTTTCCAGGTCTCATCAATAATTCATCACTGATTACATTACTGTCGCTTTAATTTGAAGGCAGCAATGCATCCATTCGTTGAGAAATAACATTTGTTGAGCACATGTGGCGCACAACTCCGTGCTTTGACAACACACCGCAGTGGACCTGACGTTAATCTGAGCTGCAGAAACTAAAGCCAGTGTTCAGACTTCTAATTCACTCCACCAGGTGCAAAACCACTTTTCCCTCCTTTCTTTCCAAGTCATTTGTTTATCATGCACTGGTGAGTTTGAGCAGAATACAGACCGCTGTACAGGCCCTGCGTAAGAAATAAAGAAAAAACAGGCCTGCAATGATGAACAATAACAAAAATAAATCCAAATAACTTTTAGAACAATTTCAATGCCATGGAAATGAAAATGAAGATTATATTGGAATGACACAATATATACAATTTACAAAATACAAGTATTTTGAAACTGGGTTGAGACCTAATGGTGTAGGGATACAGATGTTTTCAAGCTCAACACACTTTCTGATTATGAAGCCAAGACCTGTTACGCTGTTCGATATTTTAAGTGTTACAAATGTCTCGATTGTAATGAACTACAATTATATTCTACACAGAGTGGTTTGGCCCAGTTCTCAAAAAACTTCAGTAAATCCAAAAAATATGCCTCAAAAATCACAACATTTATGATTAAAAAAGCCCAGTAATTAGAATTTAGGTGGGTGCATATAAGCCACGCCCCTTCTCCACCCACTTTACTCTAACAGGCTGCACCCTGAAGCCCCTGTTTGATCACCAAAGATTTCTACAGAAAGACTGTAAATGGTAAACGAGAGAACCTTGGAATAGAGCAAGAGGCAAATCCGAGATTCAGTTTTATATTTCGCTACACTATTTTGTCAGGACTCAATACAGTACTGAAAGTTAGTGATGCACTGACATGGGAATTCCTAGCCGATGCCAATATCCAATAATCTTCAAGCATGAATCTGTCGATGCCGAAGCTGATGACGATACATGCAAAGTCTAGAAATTGGGACAGAATCCACGTTAAGCGCGTTTATTTTTAGCAAGTCTCAAATGCAGTACAATGAATAAAATGCACATATTTTAGCTACGTTCACATCACAAGCCTCGTTGCTCAAATCCGATTTTTTGCTCAAATCCGGTGGTTCACACTCGTTTAGGTAAGTGATTCAAACCTGTCATTAATGTGACGAACCGGTGTCCTGAAATGACCCTCATGAGATCATCCTACTCAGTAACGTCACGTGAATGAATCACCTGCATCATCAGCACAAACTAACGAGCAGAACGAGCTTCGCTGAGAAGATCATTAACTCTGATCAGCTCTCAGCTTCATTATTAGAGCGAGACGAAGGAGAAAAAGGTGAGATGAGCTGCTTTTCCACCGTTTACAGGCTTTAAATTCTGTTCGGCGCTGCTGCCATGGTAACGCTGAATGATGGTGCACGCAGTGGAGAAAAGCACATGAATTCCGATCTGAGCGTCACATTAAGGTCACATGGCCACAGACTGGATACGTATCTAGGACCACATATGAAAGTGGCTCAGATCAGATTTAAAAAGATCAGATTTGTGTCCACACAGCTCTGAAAACATCAGATCTGAGTCACATTAGGGCAAAAAAAAAAAATCTGATTTGTGCCACTTCAACCTGGTAATGTGAACGTAGAGTATAATACACACATCACCGCATATCAATTATTAAATATTTGTTAAACCTAAATCAATAAATGCTGTTTCAATGATATACCATGGAAAAACACATTTTTAATTCATATTTCACATTCATATAATTTTGTGTCACAAAACCAAACACATATATCCCCCTTTTCATCCTACAGCAGTTTAGCCCCGCCCATTCACGCTGTTATGAATTGTTATAAGGAGTGTTTCAGCCCAGGCAGCTTCATAAACAAGGCACAACACAGGGCAGCCCATCAGATCAGAGCTCATTTACATACATCAGTCATATAACAGCCTGTTCAAACCTAAGGAATAAAGAGAGTTTGAAAAACTGTCAGGTAAAAATTAATCATGACTGCTTCTGGTACATAAACGCATATAAATGCAAGTGGACCACAGTAGTACAAGGCAGTATGTCATCTGTGGCAGTATATCTATACCAAGGGCATATCAATTATGATTTTTTGTTTTCAGCAACAGAAATAGATAATCATTATATTTAAAATTACACTCTATTCCTTAAAATTAGAGATGCTCTGCTGTGGGAATTCTGGCCCAAACGCTTATGTTTTGCATATATGTGCATGTGCCAGTGCCAACATATATGCATCCTAGCAGAAATATACTGCATAGGTTTATCTTAAGTGCAATATTAAGAAGAAAAGAAACAGAAAAAAAGCTATATCAGGTTTGTAAGACTTTTTTTGGAAGCAATCAGAAAGCATCACTGCGATACTGTGATATACAGCACCGTGCACCTCAGTGCACTGTTTAAAACCATTTTTCCAGAAAATAAGTGTGTTTTTGCTTGAAAAACATCATATCATTACAATAAATACAAATACAGCACAAAGAGACCATTTTTTCAAAAAGTAGTTATTGAGCTAGTTTGATGAGCAAAGCTTGGTTCCAGGTTTCCTCCAGCAATCACATGGATTTGCTGAAATCCATCCACAGCAACTGATTTAATGTAATGATGCACTGATTAGCCAATCAAGATGTTGGATTATTACTATAACTAATACCACCCTTCCTCAAGGAAAGGCCTAGAAATGGTTAAACTGGTTCAAAAGGTGATTCTAAACTTGGTATTTTTTCAGCAAATAAATACTTAATGATCATATAACAAAGACTTGTACTGTATTTGGAAAATACCTTGACAGTGAATGTTATCAGCACTGCCCTGGACTATCCCCCCTCCCTTAAATACAATACAGCTCCATAATCATTATTTAAAATACCTGCAGGGCACATTTAGCATCTCCCCACAAATAACACATTCTCCTTAATCAATAAACAGCTTTCTGCTCATTTTAACACTTAGGATCAGTTTTCAGGGCAAGGACTGGACTACAAAGCCCTCCGAATGACGGTTCTCCACTGAAGATGTAGTCCATTAATCCTTCTCCAGGAAACGACCCAGAGAAAGCAAAAAGAAGAACACAAACGAAAAACCTCTATGTACTGCTAAACAGATTCACCTTTGACAACCTGTCAGGGTCTATGATCTGAAATCTAATCAAAACTGCTTTAAGTGGCTTTTAATCCGAGCCAGATTTTTCACAATTTTCAAAGATCATTTTCGAGCTTCATATGATCCACAAAACCACAAATCTCTGCACCTCACCGAGTAAATCATGTGTGCAACACATTTAGCATTTGATTAACAACACAGCGGACCATCAGTACAAAACTAGACAAGAGATGCTGGAGATAAACTAAATCAACCAAGTCATTATTATTAGTGATTATTATTACTACTATTACTATTATTACAGACAGCAGTCTGGATATTAAAGGAACAAAAGCAGTAAATTAATACATCTCAATTCTAAAAGAAGCCTAATTATCTTCTACACAGACTGGTTTGATTCAGTTCTCCCCCCCAAAAAAAATCACAACCCCTTTGACAAAAAAATCCCAGTAAAGAGAATCTGGGTGTGTGCTGGGTGGCTGAACACAGTTGACCGTAAGACAGGAAATTAGTACAAAGCTGGATAAGAGCTGCAGGAGATAAACCGTATCGACTACACTGTTATGAATTATTATTAGTATTAATAATATTTCAAACTGCACCCTGGACATTAAAGCAGTAAAGGCAATACAACAGTACACACTTAATGAAACGTTAAGCATTTAAAAAGTTAAATCGTAAAAGTTGGCCTTAAAACCAGTAAATACCAGTAATAAAATGATGCGCTTAAAATGAGTTTAAGAGGAAAATAACGGCTTAAATATTGTAAATAATGTAGAAGTGCCCTGCAGGCCTCAGGGCGACCTTGGCCTTGTGGCTGCGCTCATTTAGAGCATCCAAATTCAAACTTAAGTGACGCATCTTTCCATAAAATTACACCATTCAACGGCGCTTTTAACCGTTTAATATACGTTTATAACCTAGGTTTTATTTTTGTCACGTTTAATAATTATGATTTTCTTTCTCCCTGACGGCACAAGAGCGACCAGAGGGAGAAAGCTAAGCTAAGCTAAACTAAGCTAAGCTAAGCTAACGTAGCTTAGCTGCCAAACCAAATATGTCGTTATTTTTTATTTATTAATTTTTTAACACTAGCTACTGATTTTCCTACTGATTTTAAATAAGATGCTCCGCTTCGTTGCTGAACGCCTTAAACGAAAACTGAATTTTAAAATAAATAAATAAAGTAAAGAAAATACCGAGCTAACAACGAGGCTGGAACAGGCTGCCTGTTCGCCAGCTTCTCGTTCGCATTTGTCCCGTTCCACCTTAAATAGTCCATCACTTGCACTCTGGCGGCTGAGGTGCCAGGACGTTACTGCTGGGCCATTTAAGGTGGAACGGGAAACTTCGAACAAGAAGCTGGCGAAGAGGAAGCTAACTTCGTGTCGCTGCTTCGCTTCGCTTCGCTTCGCTTAGCCTGGCTAGCTAACTGTGTGCAAATGGTTATTTATGACATTTTGCGGCCGTAATTTATAGTTTTTAAAGCCTAATCCGCAAAACAGACGAGTGCCAAACAGACGGCGAGGGTGTAAACGATGAAGAGCGGAGTGATCACTTACTGTACGGGGTTTAATTTCGTGGTTTTATTCGTGTTTTGTCCGTGTGTCTCTCCCTCCTGCTGCTGGCAAAAACTGAGAAAAGCAACCCCACGCAGTGAAGCCAGAACACCAAACTCGGTGACTTTTATTTTATATTAAAAGTCTCCTTAAACCAAAACGTCAGGAGAAACTCCATTCAAAATATATTAATATTAAAAAAATCATTTACCGTCTTTGTAAAATATCGCTGAACATGTACATTATCTACATCACTTGCAAAATATGTCTATAGTAATAGTTTAAGATAATAATTAAATAATAAAAAATACTGTAATAGTGCTGTTTTATAATATACTGTAATACTTGTGTATCTTGTAATATAGTGAACCTTTGAGTTCCCTTCCCAGACCATTCTTGTTATTTTGTGTGCTAAATAAAACAAGTGATACTTAATTATATATATATACATATATATATATATATATATAGAGAGAGAGAGAGAGAGATAGATAGATAGATAGATAGATAGATACAGATCAGGCATAACATTATGACCACCTCCTTGTTTCTACACTCATTGTCCATTTTATCAGCTCCACTTACTATATAGGTGCACTTTGTAGTTCTGCAGTTACAGACTGTAGTCCATCTGTTTCTCTGCAGGACCCCCATGGACCCTCACAGAGCAGGTATTTGGGTGGTGGATCATTCTCAGCACTGCAGTAACACTGACGTGGTGTTGGTGTGTTAGTGTGTGTTGTGCTGGTTCGAGTGGATCAGACACAGCATATATATATATATATATATATATATATATATATATATATATATATATATATGTGTGTGTGTGTGTGTGTGTGTGTGTGCTTTTTCTACAACGACTGAAATATTTAAAAAGGACACAGTCTCCATGGTGACTATTACTAACTGCCTGAATTTGCTAAAATCCTATATAAACCCGTGTTATTTTTCATAAGGGAATATTTGCTAGTAAATTAGACATACGTTTAAATTTGCGGCTTAGGTAAATACGTGATTGCTGTTTCTCATGGATACAAATCTTCAGAAAAAATAACGAAAACGGAGTAATTATTTAAGATTATTTTATAAAATGACAGAAAAACAAATTACTGCATCGCTGTTTCTCGTCACAAGAGGGAGTCAGAGTTCTGCGGGTTATTCTCGACCGCTTGGTGGGGCTGTGCACACAACAAATCCTGCAGTTCAGGGTAAAAACTTCACACCCAGAACCCTGTGACAGTGAATTCAGCCACTTCTTTAAGGTGCACCCACTGCCGACACAGACGTTCGGTTGCACACATACAGCTTATATAATCTCCATAGAAAAGCACCGACCAATAGAATGAGACGCTCTGGAGCAGAAGCACATGAGCCTAAGGTCACCATGCCCAATGCCAAGCGTGGGCTAGAGGGGTATAAAGCCCCCCTGAATTGGGCTGTGGAGCAGTGGAACTGTGTTCTCCAAGGTGATGGAGCTCTATCCAGTACCTTTGGGATAAGTTGGAGTGATCCAGAACTGACCATCCAACATCAGTACCTGACCTCACTAATGCTCCTGGATTCGATTGAGTCCCTCAACACCTTCTGCATGTTAAGTTTTAATATTGTTATTTATTGTTATTTAACAATATTTTGTGTTTTTTAAGAAAAAATAAGTAATTTGTTTTAAATACATCTTCTTTTATAGGAAAAAAAATGGTTTAAAAAATTCTAATGAATGAACATTGCATAATAACACATGCATAACAGGTTTATAGCATACTTAAAATGTATATGACGTTTCTGTTAACGTACAACATTCAGTCACTGCCAGGCCCTGCTGAAAAATGGCCATTAAAATCATTTTAATATTATAACCTAATGGTTTTGATTACTGATTGGAATTGGATTTATGGTTTCCAATAGAGACCAATAGTTTCCTGTAGAACACGTTTAGATACTTTAGACACCTGTAGACACCATCAATGCATTTAGAATCAGCCACTGGTCACCTGTTAAACCAGATCCAGAAGGTACACTGTGATATCAACCCATTAAAAAGCCAAAACACATTACAAAACCATCAGGAACCAACAGAAACAATGGTTTCTGTCAGCAGGGTGGCCTAGATTTAAAACAGTTCCTGCACAGAATGGCTAAAATCCAATTAGCAATTAATCTGAAAACTGACTAAACAAAATTTCAGAGCCGTGAAGTGAACAGATTATTTTAAACCGAGTGATAAAAGTGCTGCTTTAAAATTTGACTCTTATTAACTGGTTCGTTTATAAACTGCGGCAGTCAGGACGGAAGCCATGACAGTGCGCATGCGCCGGTGAACACATTCACTCTGTACTATAAATTTGGCCATTTATCCATCAAATTTGAGTCATTTTAATAGGATTTTATATTAAATGCTACTGAGGCTTATTTCTCTGAAACTGAGTCATTGTCAGAGGCAGTCTAATCTGTCCTGTGCAGAGCTGTTAGTCTTGGTTGTGAGTATGTTGTTGTGGAACTGGTTTACATCAAAATGTCGTATGTTTATTTGTATTTATTGTTTGTTTACTTTAGTGATGCTTCAGTGGCTGCTTTTAAAGTTTTCGTTTTGGTGTGAGCATCAAAGTCGAGCAATAGTACAGTCGATTCCAAAAGAATCGATTCTTCGACTCCAAAACGTCTAGGAGTCGGCGTTCACGCTTGGCCAAAGACTCGAAGAGTCGAAAGGCTTGGAGTCGACTCTTTAACTCTGTTTTCTAACGTAGGTAATTGGCTCCAGGAACATTTTTACAGAGGGGTGTGTAACACTTCATCAGCGGCCCCCTTAATGTGTTGGTTAAAGTGAGTCGAAGAGTCGACTCGATCGATTCCACTGGTAGGAGTCGGGAGTCGGTCTCCTGCAGGTTTCCATGGAGATCTGCGAAGGAGAGTCAGAGCGAGAGGTAACTATGGCAACGCGTTAATAAAAGATTGTAAACGGAGCCGATATGAAGTTGAGGTCTCACTGTGTTTATCTGGAGAAACCAAACTGCGCTCCTGTTTACTGATTTGGATTTTACTGAGAACAAGAAGTCGAGTTACGATTCTGTACCAAACACAGCAGAAATTCAACAAACAATAAATAAAAACGAGACAGAGCAGAATTTAATAGCTTTAAAAGGATCAAAATCACTTAGAATCTTGCAGTTGAGGCGCTGGAGAGTCCGACGGACATGGCAGTTGTGGGTTCGAATCCCACTCCGTGTCGGCACTGACCTCCATGTATGCCAGGTTAGTCTAGTTGCACATGGGGCCTGGATCCCATCCTGAATGTATACATTAATAGGTTAGCCTAGGTTGGCAGTGCCTTGTCCTAAGTTTCACCCAGCGTCTCTGCTGAGGGGAAGGAAGTTTTTTATTATTAGATTTCAAGAATTAAGAATTTTAAATCCAAACACTTACTAAATGATTACAATCACGTGGCAGGACTGCAGTCATCAGTCTTTCAGTGCTTTGCTTTTATAGCAGAATGGCCCATTCAACAAAGCTAATACTTATGATTGGTGTCTGCATTGTTTCGCCTCTTTATATGGAGAATATTTATTAAAAATATTTAATATGTTTCATAAATAAAACAGGACATTAGTGTTGTTGGTAACACTTTCTATGAATGTCACCTTTGTAAGCATCTATAAACACATTCATAACATGTTATAATGCATTCATAAGGCATTATAAACATGGCTATAAATATTTATAAAAATGCATTACATGTTATAGCTGAAAATACTTAAAATTTCAGGGAGTAAATAAACTTTGTATTTGTCTTTACTTTATGCTCTCCAAGCTGGGACTGACTTCTTTGGCACTGACAGTATTACATGTTATTAACACTATTTGTAATGCCTTATATTAACAATTCATAATGTATAATAAACATGGCTATAAATTGTAATTCAGTGTAATTCATTTTTATAAATATTTACAACCATGTTTATAATGCCATATGAATGCATTATAACATGTTATAAATGTGTTTATAGATGCTTACAAATGTGACATTCATAGAAAGTGTTACCGTGTTGTTTTCTTTCAGAATGAAGCTGATGTGTCAGTAATCAAAAGGACTGAATGACAGAATCATACAAACGACAGTTTATCTCAGTATACGTATAGGAAATAGACTTTTTTTTCTATGCATATATTTTATGTCTGTCCATGCTGTCTAGTATGTCTATGTGCATTTGCCTTTATGTTATGTTTATGTTATATTTGCATATCGGAGCTGGAGAGACGCAATCTCGTTCAACTCTGCACTCCTTTCTGTTTAGTCTGAATGAAAATAAAGTTCACTTTGACTTCATATTTTTATTTCTGAGAGTGTACACCGATCAGGCATAACATTATGACCACCTCCTTGTTTCTACGCTCATTGTCCATTTTATCAGCTCCACTTACTATATAGGTGCACTTTGCAGTTCTACAGTTACAGACTGTAGTCCATCTGTTTCTCTGCACGCTTTGTTAGCCCCCTTTTACCCTGTTCTTCAGTGGTCAGGACCCCCATGGACCCTCACAGAGCAGGTACTATTTGGGTGGTAGATCATTTTCAGCACTGCAGTAACACTGATGTGGTGGTGGTGTGTTAGTGTGTGTTGCGCTGGTCTGAGTGGATCAGACACAGCAGTGCTGCTGGAGATTTTAAACACCTCAGTGTCACTGCTGGACTGAGAATAGTCCACCAACCAAAAATATCCAGCCAACAGCGTCCTGTGACCACTGATGAAGGACTAGAGGATGACCAACACAAACTGTGCAGCAGCAGATGAGCTATCGTCTCTGACTTTACATCTACAAGGTGGACTGACAAGGTAGGAGTGTCTAATAGAGTGGACAGTGAGTGGACACAGTGTTTAAAAACTCCAGTAGCACTGCTGTGTCTGATCCACTCAGACCAGCACAACACACACTAACACACCACCACCACGTTAGTGTTACTGCAGTGCTGAGAATGATCCACCACCCAAATAGTACCCGCTCTGTGAGGGTCCATGGGGGTCCTGACCATTGAAGAACAGAGTAAGAAAGTATGCAGAGAAACAGATGGACTACAGTCTGTAACTG